AAAAAGAAACACACCAGCTACCAGCCACTTACCAGCAGTATGTCCCTGGAGGAACACGTGTGAATACTGAACCAGGAAAGGCAGTGCTAGAAGACACACACAGTCCTTCCCCAGAGAGAGCCGGTGACAGCCACGAGCTGAGGCTTCTCTGACCCACCTGTGCATGCCCGTGTGTGTGAGTACCTGCGGGTGATTGTATGTATGGTGTATGTGTGTGTGAGATCGCCCATGTCCGTCCCATTTCTCCGGCTGCTGCCGAGAGCGGTGACCTCATTTACTTTTTGTACATCCTAATCTGATGACAGTAACCACTGTTTCTGGAAACAAAGATTCCCCTGGTCACCTGATGTCCCGCTTACAGGATCTGCAAAGGGACTTCAAAGTCTGGAATGAAATGATAAGTTGATTTTTGTGCAAAAAATCTGTAAAGTCATCTTCTTGAAGTGCTGTGGCATGTTTATAAAGATTTGTTTACTTGGAAAGCAGAGTGATGTGTGACAGCAAGAGAGCAGTGGCTTTACGCACTACGCCACAGTGCTGGCATCCCACATGGCCTGGGAAAGCAGTGGAAGATGGCCCAAGTCCTTGGGCCCCTGCACCCGTGTGGGAGACCCGGAGGAGGCTCCTGGCTCCTGGCTTCGGATCAGCGCAGCTCTGGCCGTTGAAGCCATTGAGGGAGTGAACCAGTGGATGGAAGACCCCCACCCCCTGCTGCTCTGTATAACTCTTTCAAATAAATAAATAAATGTTTAAAAAAATCTAAAAAAAGAGAATCTGATATCTGCTGGTTCACTCCCCAAAATAACCACGATGCCTTAGGTCAGGCCAAAACCAGGAGCCTAGAATGCCATCTGGGTCTCCTACATGGGTTGAGGGGCCCAAGTACTTGTCATCCTCCAGGGCTTTCCCAGCACATTAGCAGGGAGTTGGATCAGAAGTGGAGTGGCCGGTGCCATGGTTCACTAGGCTAATCTTCCGCCTGTGTCGCCAGCACCCCAGGTTCTAGTCCCGGTTGGGGCGCCGGATTCTGTTCCAGTTGCTCCTCTTCCAGTCCAGCTCTCTGTGGCCCGGGAAGGCAGTGGAGGATGGCCCAAGTGCTTGGGCCCTGCACCCCATGGGAGACCAGGAGAAGCACCTGGCTCCTGGCTTCGGATCAGCGTGGTGCACTGGCCGCAGTGCACCGGCCACGGCGGCCATTGGAGGGTGAACCAACGGCAAAGGAAGACCTTTCTGTCTCTCTCTCTCACTGTCCACTCTGCCTGTCAAAAAAAAAAAAGTGGAGCATCCAGAAGCCAAATTGGCTCCCATGTGGTATACCACTATTGCCTATAGCAGTTTTACCCACTATGCCACAATGCCAGCTCCAGATTTATTTATTTTTTATTTTGAAGACAGAGTTACAGAAAGCAAGGGACAGAGAGATACCTTCTGTCTGCTGGTTCACTCCCCGAATGGGCAGAGCAGGGCCAGGCTGAAGCCAGAAGCCAAGAACATCCGGTCTCCCACATGGGTGGAGGGGCCCAGGCACTTGGAATCCTTGGGCACATTAGCAGGGACGTGGATTAGAAGTGGAGCAGCCGGGACCTGACAGACACCCGTGTGGGATGCCGGCCTCACAGGCCGTGGTTTAACCCCCCGTGCCTCAGCGCCACCCCTTATTTGAGATCTGGATGAGAGGTGTTTGTGTGGAATGGTTGGAATGAATACTTCATGAGCAAGGGTTCCGGAAAGATGAGAGGAGCGAAGTGGAGACAGCAGTGTCGTGTCGGCACCTGTTTTTAACTGTCTCATGAGAAAGAAAGTGGGGAGGGTCAAGGGTTTGGGGCAGCAGTTTAGCTGCTTTTGGGGATGCCTCTGTCCCATCTTAGAGCGCCTAGGTTTGAGTCCAGCTCTGCTTGCCATTCCAACTACCTGCTAATGTACACCCTTGGAGGCATCAAATGATGG